TTTCTTCCTTTCTTCCTTTCTTCCTTTCTTCCTTTCTTCCTTTCTTCCTTTCTTCCTTTCTTCCTTTCTTCCTTTCTTCCTTTCTTCCTTTCTTTCTTTTCTTTCTCTTTCTTTCTTTCTTTCTTTTTTCTTTCTTTCTTTCTTTCTTTCTTTCTTTCTTTCTTTCTGCACATGACCACATTTTATTTAAATGATCTGTTCATATGTATGTTTCTCCCACTAGACTGTGAGGCCCTTGAGAATAAGGGTCTGGCTCCATGTCCAGTAGGTCAGAAACTACCATGGTCCCAGCCAGGGATACCCAGAGGCAATGGCATGACATATGGCCGAAAGCTACCTGTCTACAGTAGTGATGTTGGAGTGGGAAATCTGAGGAGCATTTTGGGAAGCCATTTTCGTGTGGGGCTTTCACACCTTACCATTGCAGTAACTCTGGAACTGTGTAAAGAAACCCCAGAGAAGCAATGTGAGTAATGGGAGCTATGAAGAGTGCCAAGAGGTTCAGGTTTCACGTGTAACAATTGAAACAGGAGATTGGAAAGCAACCTGATTTGGGATCTAGCTGTTCACTAGCTTAGGCCTCTGACCTCAGCCTTGGAAAGTGGTTAAAGGCATTGACAAAGAATAGAGGGCAGAGCCATGGTGTGTGTGTGTGTGTGTGTGTGTGTGTGTGTGTGCGTGCGTGTGCACGCACGTGATCTGTCTAGCTGGCATTGACCAAGATTCTCTCCTTGACCAAACTCTAGCTAGGCCACTGGGGGAGCACAAAACACCAGTTGTGAATGCATCTGGGGTCTGGACTTGGAAGGGGGAAAGTTGTGGGGTGGTTGGTTGGGAAGTCACAGATGGCTTCCTGGAGGAGACGATGCCTCAGCTGTTTCTCTGAAGATGAGATGGCATCAGTTGAGCACTGAAGGTCGGTGGGAGGGTCTTAGGCGGAATGACAGAATGGACCCAGTGTCTCTATGGACAGTGTGCCTGGAGTGAGTGTGCTAAGTGCATGGTATCTATTACTATAGCGTATAGAGTGTGATGTGATGCATAGCTGGTGGGGTAGAGAAGCGAGCAGGGACTGGGCTAGGAAAAAATCACATAAGCCATCAGTGCTCTTCAAGTCTGGCTGTTTTTAGAGGCACAGATGCTCAGGCCCCACTCACTGGGATTAGGATTCAATTGGACTGAGGTGGATGCCAGTCATCAGTATTTATCAAAAATCTTCTCATTTGATTCTAATGAACAGCAAGTATGACAGCCATTGCTGAAGAGAGCTGCTTTCTTTCCTTTCTGCTCAAAAATGTAAACATTTCATTTGCTTCTACCTATAAAAAATAATAACTTACATGAATTAATCTCATGTGTTTCCATACACAAGAAAATGTTAATATAAGAAAATTTATTATATCATTTGATTTAGGAAGTTGACTTAATTCATACAATAAGAACTTCTTTGTTTATTCTTTAGCTATGTTCTGGCCTTTATCATTTGTTTCTTTGACAGTTATACAGGCGGTTTTATAATTTTACCTTATTCCTTAAGGGTCCAGACAGCAAACTTAGATTAAGATAAAATAGACAGCAGATATGCTCAATAGATGTACTTAGTTCCACTCACTTAGCATCAATGCATAACACATTCCAAAAGCAAGCATACATCAAATTTAAAATGGATAATCTTAATTGGGTTTAATAGTTGGGTAAATGATCAAACAATTCTCATTGCATATGTGTTGGAAGCATGCATTTCATTCCTTATTGATTTGCTTTATTGAATTATCATATCAATTAATTTTTATAGGAACAGGGATAAAATCATGGAAAAGAGCTGTGGTAGAGAATACACTTCCACTGTATGAAACATGGACAGCAGGTGATGAAACCAAGAAGCTAACTCCCACAGAGACCTAAATGGCACATCTTGGCACATATGGGTAAGTATAATGTTTATTAATCTAAAAAATGAGAAAATACTATAAAAATAGAAGTAGAAAACCCTGGACAAGTTAAAATACAGAAAAATTTTAAGCAAAGTTATTTGAATCAGGCAATATTTAATATATCAAATATTAATCTTAATAACTATGTATAAAGTAATCTAAACCCAAGACACTAACCATGTCAAAAGGCAGCAGTTATCCTGACCACCAGAATCCTTTGTTAGGATTAATATTCTCTGATTACACACTTAGGCACCCCCTGGTTACAATAATGTTTGTTTATTATTTATATTACAAAAATAACTATTCTCTAAATGATTACACACAGTAAATAAAATTAGAACTCTACATAAGGATTTGAATAATTGCGGTTTCTTTAAGGACCACTTGCAATGTCTTCTGTCTGTTTCACAGACCTGTAGAAGGGAAACAAAAGAAAATGTACTTAATAATATGTCTATAGTGGAGCATATAAAAACAAAAATTGGGATTTTAATGCTTTCCTTTACTCTATCTGAACTTTTACAACAGCATTGACATTAGAGTACTACCTCTTATTAACCATATTTTGCTACCAGTATAGCAATTTCTGGTAACTGCATAAAATTCTAATCATATCAAGATGTCAAGGGAAAATATCCATCTTCTAGAATATTTTATGTGTTTTTTCCCTTTGTACCATTGTTATATTTAATATTTCTGATTCATTAATTAGGCCATAAACATTTGAAAGCAGACTATCAATCTCCAAGTTATTTACAGGGCCTGAAAGAATATTTGCACATGGCATTTGCTTAATAATATTTGATGGAAGAGAGGGAGAAAAGGAAAGAGGGAAGGGAGAGAGAAAACAAGGGAATCCCGTTGTTTTTGCACACACTTTTCCCTTATCTGGAATGCTTTACTTAGCCTAACCAACCCCTGCTAACTCCCTTATCTGACTAGCTCCTACACTCCTTTAGGTCTTAGCCTTAAATGTTACTTTTTCTGGGCCCTTTGACTACTAGTCAAAGTAGAACTCTCCTGCTGCACCCCCTTACCTGACCCTAATGCCTCTCTAACAATCACTATCAGCTCTTTATGTAAATAATTGTTCATTTTGTGTCTTCTCCACAATTTAAGTAAGTTCCATAATGAGAAGAACTATGGTAGGTGCTGTGTCACCCATGATAGTGACATGCGCTATTCCCTGGCACAGTTCTTTATCCATTGTAGGACCTTATTAAATGTGAATCACACAGATGATTTACTCCATTACAGCTTTGGAACTGTACAGCGCTATACCTATATGTCACACAGAGAACATCTGAAAGACTGAAGGAGAGGATCATGTAATAGTTGTATACCTATAGTGACAGAGTTACTATGTGAAAGACAGATACAATTATCATCTGTGAACCAAAAGGACAGAATCAGAAATCAAGCAGTTTGAGGGTTCTTTTAGAATCCTTTTAGAAGGATTTCAGAAAAAGTTTTCAGGAGGATTTTTTGAAGGCAGATATAAGATTCAGATCTAAGAACAAAATAAGAGCGTAATTTCTTTTAAAATAGGTTTTAAACATATTTTACAAATGAAGCAATACATGTTTATTAGGGAAATATTGTAGATAAGCAAAGACTTATTCTCACACTACACAGAGACAACTGATGGATTTTTGTTTATAACCATCCAGACAGTATTCTACAGGGGTAAAAACAGGATCATGTATGTGTCTGTGCATCATGAGTTATATTTAATATTTTGTCTTGTGACTTGCCTTTTTATGTAAAAATATTGGAAAAAAATTTCCACATCTATACATATATATATATCCAGTTAATATAAGATTATATATACCCAGTTAATATATATCTCATCCTTCATAATGAATTCACAGTTTCCCATTGTATAAATTGCTATAATTTTTTAAATCAGTCCTCTTTTTTTGGTAATTAGGTTGTTTCCATTTTTTTACATGTTTTTCATGTTTTATTATAAAACATGAGGCAATGAACACAATATTCTGATAGCAACATAGTAGTCCATCACAGAAATAATTTTTTTAGGTGATTTCCTAGTATAGAATTATTGGGTAAATGAGCAATTTGAGCAGAACAAAATTAAATGAGTAGCTGAGGGAGACAGTAAACTCCCCATTACTCAAAGTGCACATGTGGTGTCTGGATGGCCCCTTGGCAGGGGTATTGCCCAGAAGAGGGTAGCAATAAGAGCAGAGTAGGTAGGTCTAAAATTCTTTCCACTTTTGATGTCCTGTGATTCTCTGAGTGCTAAGAACAAACTCACACATTTGCTTCTCTCTATGGCATACTTGAGAGAAGATACTGAAAACTTTTTTATCTTTGTACATCTAGTTCATAGATGTCCAAGGATGTGAAATTGTTCTGAGATACTGTAACTCCAGCAGATATTTAATGGCATCATAGTGCCCATAGTTTGCACAGTAGGGGAATATATTTTCAGCTCATGTCTATCTAGAAGTTTTCTTGTCAAACAGAAGGGGTTTAAAATCCTCTTCCCATCAACTCAGCATGGGAGAATACAGACTCAGTGAAGACCCTGAGGCCCATAAAACACCAGAGATATATATATATAGAGAGAGAGAGAGAGAGAATATTATGCAAGTTACTTGAAAAAAAATCTTTTCTCATTAGAGGTCATGAGGACTACGTATTTTTTAAAAATCTGCACTTTGCACAGTTGTAGATACTACCCATAATTACCAGACATTGATATTAAGTGCCCCGAGCAAACCTACCAGAGTAGACCAGTGCAGGACAAGAAGAGCAGGGGACACAAAGAAGAAGATCCGCAGAACCTGCACAATGAAAGAAAAGATGATAATATGCTGGACCAAGAAAAAACATCTACTAAACACAATTCCACAGATGTTTAACCAATTTCTAGCGAAGACTAATTGAAATTAATATCAAAACTACATTTATACTATGTAGTGGGCTACAACCACATATAAGATAACTATAGTGTGTATATTTTCATTCCATAATTCATTCATTTTCAATTTAAATTTTTGTTGATTTTTAAATAAAATCTAGGGCAAAATGCCCTTCCAGATAGTGTTCTGGATATATATGTGGACTGTAGGAAGACCCCCTCTAAACTGCAGTCATAATTCTGAAGCCTGGCACGGGGCAGGAAGGAAAGCCTGGAAAAAGCATGGAAAGCCATGCTCCTTAGACTGTTACCCTAACACAGCTTCTTCAGCCCTGGATGGATACATGCTACATAGTGTGATGCTGGGACATTTAAAAACTTGTACTATCATAATGAAGCTATGGGATTCACGTGAGGTAGTGTTTATACATACACATATACTGTATTTATACATTATATGTACTTATATATTATATGTATTATATATGTATATACACATATACTGTGTTTATAATGCCTGGCACATAACGTTACATGTGAAATGTAATTCCTCTGAATGCAGCCCTAAGGCAGAAGAGTCTATCCCCGAAGGAAGGGGAAAGCAGTGCCCACTGGGACAATGGGACATGACCATTCTAGTTTAAAAGAGTAGCAAAATGAAACAGAGGGTAAAAGCAGATGAAGTAAGGAAATCAAGGGAGACAAGCAATCAATTCCATGTGTCTTGAAGAGAAAGGAAGTAGATTTGGTCCAAATTTTCCAAAGCAGCTCCTGGAGCACGAGTCCTACAAGTTGTTAGTGCAGCTGATTCACAAACAAACGGCTCGTTGGTGAAAGAATTTGGACAACATACTACATCTGCTCTTTGTAGGATCAAAATATACATCAGCATATTACAGGCTCTTAGAAGTCCTACAATAAAGAAAACTATTTAATCTGATATTCACCAAAGTTACACAATAATAGATTTTTATATAACGCTCATTTTTGAAATTCTATAAAGTATCCATTGGTAAACGCTGTTTCAACTAGTGTGATATATTGATCTAGCTGTTGTTTCATATCATTCAGCAGCAAAATAGAAAAAGCATGGGTTTGTATTCAGCTAGACTTGAGTTCAGATCCGGGCTCCACTCTTTCCAATATATAGGACCTTGAGCAAGTTATTAACATCAATCAGCATCCTTCACAGAAAGTGGTTATGAGCAAAACACCTTCAGAAGTATCATTAAGTAATGGGTATTTAATTGTTTTATTGCATTCAATTTAACTGAATAGGGGCTACAAAAAAACATTTCAATTGAAGGTGTTGACTATATATGGAAGGTGGATGCTGAATACAGCTGGAGAACTTGGTAAATTTTTAAAAATCTTATGCGTGGAAGGGTTTTGGAATAAAATAATGATGTATTCATGTTTGAGTGTTCTTTACTAACCAAAGATATTAAAGGTGCTGGCAAGAGAGCAGTTGAATTCATACTCAATATTAGTGGTTCTCAAATTTTAGAGTATATAAGAATTGCCTGGAGGGCTTTTTAAAACAGAGATTGCTGGGCCTCAACACCCGAGTCTCTGACTTAGTAGATCTGGGGTAGGGTCCAAGGAAATTGTGTTTCTTACAAGTTCCCAAGAGATGCTGATGCTGAGGCTGCTGGTGTGGGACCACATTTTGAGTATCAGTGTTGTACGTAGCGTGGACTACAGGCTGAAGGATGAAGCCAGCTGTGCTCTGGTACACTTGGAGACAAAGGAGTAGTCAAGTGTTTTGGTACCAAAAGAAGATGAACGTATAGGTTTAGTAGGAAATAGAGAATTTTAAGGACAGGAAGTTAGGAACAGAAAATAGATTATAGTAATATAAGATATTAGAGATGAATGCTATTTCACATTTGACAAGAACATAAAACATACATTGCCTTAGAGGATCACTAGATTTGAGAAGGCCAAGGAATTATAATGGTAGGATATTGGGTAAGTCACCCAAGCAGGAGTTAAAATTCTGGTGGCAAGAGTTGTGATAGAGAGGAAAACAGTGAACCAGAGTCAAGCATCTCACATGAATGAAGAGAAATGATTGGTAAGATTATAGTGACAAGAAAAGGAACAGGGAAGAGTGACAAATGGCATGTGCTTAAAAAGGGGAATTTCGGGTAGCATACGGATCGTACCTCATGACACTTGGCATGGCAATTGGAAGAAGGAGCAGCTTCCCCTGGAGGAGGCTGACAGGGAAGCCTTGTCTTCCAGAAAGAGCTCATTTCAAATAAGGCAAAAATGTATGAGAGTGTTCTTTGAATAGCCTTGAGAAAGGACAATCAATTTGCAAATCAAATTCTAGTTCTATAGGGCACAGTGCAAATATCTGGGAAATATATCAACAGTGGTTAAGAATACAAATACATGAGAAGATTTTATTTTGATGGGGCAGATGGGCAAGGCAGCCAGCCAAGAATAACGGGGTAAAAGGCAGAATTAACTGATTCAGGTTTCTGAACTGAACTTTGGCATAACGTTGTTGCACAACAACTGACTTAGGTATCCAGCCTGACACTGCTTCCATCTGCTGTGAAGGAGGATTGCCTACCCTGGGGATAGCCCATTGGTTCCCATACTAGTGGGAATGTAAGAAACAAAGCAGCTTTGGTGGGAAAAACAACAAGCAAGCAAGACAGTAGCCATCAAGTCTGAAAATAAAGACTACACATACACACACACACATATATATATATATTTGCAGATTAGAATACACTTCATTTCTTCTTGCAGATAATGCCATAGGTACAGGTTTTTCAGTGAAGAACAGCCATACAGACCACCCTGGGGAATGCATCACAAATGCATGGGTAGGGATTGAAGTAGATTCTGCCTTAATGCATTGTGTTCATTGCAACTCTGGTTGCACTGTCACTACTACAGAGGAACCACATGTTGAACACATGATATGTTACTGAACATATCCTGTTCTGTAGTGTATATCAATAAACAACTTATTACATGCATTTATCTATGTTTCTAGGCTTTATGGATCCCCTAAATAATCTGAAGAAGAAGACGGAGCCTCAGGCTTGGCCACTTCTCAAGTGGTCTTTAAGAGTCACTTAACTAATTTGAACTAAATTATTCATTTCATTCATTCATTACACGAATTCATTAAATATTTATTAAGTAAATAAATAGTGAATGCATAAGTATTTGTTAAGTAAATATTTGTTGAACACTTACAATGTAAAATAGAAATGTTAAGACTAAATTTTTCTTAATAGCTTAATTTTTTGAATTAAGTAGTTAGAAGCAATTTATAAACTATACAACCTTATACAAGTGGTAACAACCTTTTAAAAATTATTTTAAATGTTAACAAATGGATAATCCTTTGTGTCCTAATATGAAGGAGAAAGGCAGATGTAATTTATATTTAAGAATACAAAGAAAGCTATGTTTTTGGTCTGAAGAATGTTTAAATATACTAAAGCTGAAATACAGTTTTGAGATATTTAGTCAACATTTCAAAACAAGTCATTCTGAAGAAACTTGGCAGAGTACTTTGAACAGTTGTTCTACTTTTAATAGCTTACTATGGGATTGAAAACATGCTTAATGTAATTACTAAATGCTATTTATTTAATTCTGTCAAAACTTTAATTTTTATGTTTATCATACATGCCTCCCTTAATTTTCTAGATGACTTTGCTTGTAGATAATAACTTGGAACACAGTGTAAACATAACTAAATCAAGTTGAAGTTTCTATTAAAAGATGACTTCCTACCCAAATGTATTACTGCTTCAGTTTCTTTATATGTTGCTTTTCCTTATTTTCTTGTTTTATAGTGTTTTCCCTATGATACAAACTTTTCAGTGCTCAGTGAAATAATTCCTCTCTAGATAGTATCTGCACACACTTCCCTCCCACCCCACATTGTTTTAGCTTCTAGAAGTGGAGTGAAATTGAGTAGAACATATGGTCTTGGATTAGATTAGAATATAAATTGCACTTACTGTGTATTCTTGGGAAAGAATATTTAACAAATCTGAGTTTGTAAAATCAGAGTAATAACACCTACACATTGTTGACACAGAAATTAAAGGAGATACTACATGGCCATAACGAAAATTTTTTAGATGTTAGTCCTCTTCCTTCTTTAGAGATGGATGTTAGTCCTTCTTTAGAGATGTTTGTGTTTCTGTATAAGCCTTGAAATGTCAATGGCTCATAATAGGCTTTTGGAAGAAATGGAACGTTATAATTCTAAATATAACCCCAAATAGATTTTGTGCATCTATTTTATGTTAGGCTATGTGACAGTTTTTCCAATTTATTATTAAATTAGCTCTCTATCAGAATATATGCTCTCTCGGTGGGACAGATTTATTATGCTGCATTTTGGAGTTCTGTGCTTAGAATTTCTTTTCTGTCTTCACATACCCTCTTGATTAAGCCTAACCAGCAGTTTCTTTAGTCACAATGTCTATCTTTGGACTAGGATTTCCTGCCAGATTCTAAAAACAAATATTCCATTATCTCCTCTGAGACTATACCAGTCAACTTTTATACTAACTCAAACAATGGACATATAGCATCTGCTGGAGGGAATTGTTTATTCATTGATGTTTTTCTTCAGTCTGAGAAAAGTAAACATGTAAGTCTGAAATAGGAGGAAAAAAGAGAATAACGCAATAAGGTAGGTTGGGATCAATGATGGTATGGTTGTAGGTACCCCAATTAGTAGGCATGAAATGTTTACGCAATGAAAACCCTGAGTTGTTACAGCCTGGGAGAATATCTAAGAGCATTGCATAAGATGATGACAGCACCCATGAGCCCATACAATGGAGAGGTCAGTCTTTTTGCCCCAAATTAGGACTATAAAAGCAGCCTGGGAGAATATCTAAAAGCATTGCATAAGATGATGATAGCACCCAT